GCTGGATCTCATGGCAATGTTTTGAAAAAGATCAGAATCATTCTAAATCCGATTCCAGCTGGAATCGGGTTTAGAATGATTCTGATCTTTTTCAAAACATTGCCATGAGATCCAGCATGGTCGAAAACCTATAATTCAAGTCTTTTGTGGGCTTGAAAAAGTTAAAAAAACTGAATCTTGGCAGTCTCAGGAAAGTCCGCACCCTGCTCGGACCGTTAGAGATGAAACTCTCGTTCATGGGGGTATTTGTAGACTAATGTATGGTTGTTCGAATCCCCCCATCCGTATTAAAAGACACGCTTTTTTTCGCTCCGTACGGTGGTACTCTTTGAAAGATTGATGTGGTACACCACCTGCAACTGGTGGGCTGCTCGGAAAAAAACCCTTTTTCTAATTTCTGCAAGTGTCAGCTACACAGTGGTGAAAACCGCATGTCTCTATCTCTTTTCTATCGTGAGTTATTCAAAAAACGGCAGGGTGCCTTGTATTTTGAAACAGATAGTAATACTGATTCACTACCGAAGATTAGCGGAAAAAATGCTAACATACCACTTTTGCATCAATTGCAACTTTTGCAAATCCTTTTCGATCTTTCCAAATTAATTGGTAATTATGATCACTAAATAGATTCAAAATATTTTAACATTCACTTCTATCACTATCTGTTATTGATAGCATACCTAAATAGTGCTTCACGTACACCACCTGAAAGACAACTATCAATTAATTTCTCGTTCTTTAATAAACATGTTGTACTTGCCTGGACTTACTGCAAGTACATGTCCTTGATCCAACATTAACTTGCACATTGCTGCTGTTGCTGGTTGAATTTCTAGTGCTTCTAATAATGTGGCTAAACCTAAAACCATATAATTTGTCTAAACATGTTGTTTTCATTTTAAAAAGAAATATATATATCTATTACCGGGTATTTTGAAAACAAATTTATCAGCAACAACTCTTACACGACGATTTCTATAGAGCCATATTTTTGCAAATAAATAATAAAAATCAATCGGTATTGCAGCATGATAAAAAACAATTAACACCGGTCCTGTCACAGGAATGTGTTCGAGTCCCTCAACCTCATAACCTAAACAAAATGAGAACAATTTCTAGTTAGAATAATATAATTCGAAATGAAATTTACCATGCCATATGGATGCTTGAAGTTCCCAAATGACAGCTAATGTATTGAGTGCACCAAACCATACATCTTCCGAATAAGCAGCCTAAATACTAAAAACGGTAATTCAAATCACGCATTAGTTTACAAAATTTTCTGTTAAAAGTCAATGATAATTCTTCTATCACTATTACATGTAATATAAATTTTAAACAAAAATCTGATATATTTAAACATTATCAACTTTATATAGATTCTCAAGGCAATTGCTCTAGAATGCACGAAACTACATGAACCATAGATCAATAAGAGAACGTTTTCTCTCGAAAATAAATGGTATCAAACATACTTTTAAACGATTCCAATGTTTGTAGATAAGTAAGAATAAAGATGAACCATACATAAATAATAAAATAGTAGCTGGTAACAACCATAATGCAAATAAAACTAGGCAAAGTGGTTTAAATAATGCCCATAGCCAAGCTAAATAAATTAAATCTAAATTTAAATGTTGTGTTAATAAAATAAAATAATACATCAAATGATCCAATAGCCATGTTAAAATTGATTCCATTTTATTCACTTCGATAGCAATAGTAATAAAAAATAAACGAATAAATAATAATTGTCGTGTTTGTGTGTGGCTTATATTTTAAACAGTAACATGTTATACATCCACAAAAACAATGATAAGATTATATTTCGCTGATTATCTATTCATCTTGAAACAATTCACGATTAATATAAAAAAAACAATTCTAAAATTTAATATCGGTGTATTAACCCGTTTATGATCAAGTTTTTTCTATTAATTGAAATAAAAATTTTTTGTTCTTAAAATAGTAACTAGATCTAGACAGTTATAAATTCTTATTTGATTTACAAAAATATTCAAAAATATTCACTCAACATAATTTTATATCATTTAGAAGATGTATTGTTAACAAATTATTAAAATCTTTTCAGAAACCAAAGAATGGCAGGTCATCGATGTCACAAATACTAAATTTAAATGCAAACACATTTTTTTTCTAATCAATACAAACACACACGACGTTGTATTTGTTATAAAATGACTATAAAGTTCTGTAAATCTTGTAGAAAAGCAATGCATATGAAGTGTTTTGAAAACTATCACTGAAATAGAGAGAATTGACTTGGAACAAGCGGCGCTTCTTAGATATTCTTTAATCCAATTGTTATTCTACTAAATTATGTAACGTTTAAAATGATCAGAGATGGGCAAGTCTCAGTCCGAATCGTGACTCGACTGAGATTGAAGGTCTAATGGACTGAAATTGATTATTTTCGCAGGCGCAGGGTTTTCAATTGTTCTTAGAGATGGAAGGAGCTAAAAAAATTTTTTCGCAGAAAGTGATAAAAAAAGTTTTCGAAATTTTTAGCAGAAAGTTCCTGGTGGAAAAATATCAAAGATTTTGCCAGAAAGTCCAGAAAAGTTTCAGGGAGGGCTCCTCTGATCAGGAACTCTGCAGAGGAGGCGTGACTGATTTTTCAGATCAATTCTTCAACTTTAGTGTAGAGAAAAATCTTTGATACATACATTTAAAGAAAACAGTATCATTTCAGTAAAAAGATACAAGACGCAACATGTAATAATCAGAGCGAATGAGAAAACATTTCTGGCTCGGACTGAGACCCTAGTGGACTGAAAAACAGAGGACTTGGCCATCTCTGAAAATGAGCACTGAATCATTGTTGTCCAAAGTCTAATTCTTTAGATATTTGGCACTTAACAGGTGTATCTTTAAGGATATAGTGGACACAAACAGGTTAAGATAGATCTACGCTGAACTATGAAAATGTATACGTTGCGGTTAGTTATATACAGTTTTAGTTGAGTTGATAAAAAATAGCTCAATGTTACCTATGCTAATGTTTTTAGTTATGTTCGTGAGATTAGATATGATAGAAAACGCATGTCTTTTCTATGACAATGCAGCAACACATTGCACTAATAGAAATTGCATCGATCAATGATGTCGTCATGGAGCGTAGAATAATTTAATTGAAGAGCTATATATGTAATAAGAATATAACTATGAAAAATTTCATTCATTTTGCTGTCGAACGAAAATTGTAAGAGAAAAAGATTAACTAAAAGAGAGAAACGAAAAAATAATCGAGTTGAATTTCACAAATAAAACCATTGTCAACTAAAGAGACATGAATGAAAGGCCAGTTACAATTTCTTTCAGTTGAATATCCTATTATTCTTGTTTTTTTAAGTAGTTTCTATGAAAGTGTCTGTGTCAATCTGTTGACCATGAGCTTAATAATAAAACACATTTGAGAGTATCAGCTCACTTATTATCAGTGTTCATCAATGGATAAAAACACGTTTACCGAAAATATCAAAAAACCCCTTTTTCGGAGTCTGCAATGATGTTTCATCAAACTATCACATCTATCATAAATATCACGTTTAAGTCATTTCTCAATCGATCGCCATTTATTATACGCATTTATTTGTTGTATAATAATATGGCCCATGCCAAATGTTTTCAAATGCAAGCCACGGTGATCCTATTCTATACTTAGCCAATCTTCAACAATTAAGAAAAAAAATTATATGATAGCAATAAACATGTTACCTCTATTATAACATTATACAATCTCATTGCCAACAACAACAAGGACCCAATATTATTCATGCTTTATTATGATAATCAACGAGCATATTACTTGAAAGTGAACTGATTGATTTAAACAAATCATACGGTTAGTCAATGTTATAGAATCTTTTTATCATTAAATGAAGTGTCAATTGTTTGCACTGGAATGTATGGCAAAATCTCTCTTCGTGATCAACATTTTCTATTGAGGATTTCAAAAAATAATTTCTATTATGACTAAACCTCTTGAATGTGACAGCTCTGATTTAGTCCTGAAGTTGATCATTCTGAAAGGGTATTTATCGTACATATAAAGACATTTCAATCAGCTATTCCAGTAGGTCAACGTTTATTTGATTCACGTAATAATACAACAATACATCTTTACAACGAAATCTCTACATCTATCAGATTCAAGTACAATCCACTGTATATATAATTTTTGAAAATCGATTCAAGTAAAATAGTCAAAACTTCACCACACATCTTACATGGAAAAAAATTTCATGATCATACCAACCATATTCTCTATACAAGAACATCCATCTGAAATAGATGCAACCAGATTGATCAAGTCGCTGGACGTACATTTTCAAATGTATGAATTCATTTCTTTTTGGTACCATGTGTATTTTTGTAATTCTTTTTAGTAGCTCTTATCTTATGTATGGAAATTTAAATAAACTGGAAGGAATTGTTCAATGCGAATGAACTCAATAACTAATTAATGAATCATGATCTACTTAGGGCATCCCAAAAGTACGGGCAGTGACACTTTAATACCGTGTATTAAGCTTCAAGAAATTTTCTTTCTATGCAGTCTGATAGAGAAAAGAATGCTATTTTTCTATGCTATTTGATCATACTTCAACTAATATAAGAATAATAAAATTTTGATAAGATCTGTTTTGTTCCCATGTGTCACGATTCCATGAATACTAGTGAGTATTTTTTGAATAACTTTTGATAGAAACAAGATAGAGAGCTGCGGTGTTCACCGTTGGAAAGAGGAAATGAAGATGCATCGAATCATATATTATAGGCTTTTCTAGTATTGATTTCTGAAGTATTTTTGTTCAATTTTCTAAGTGTCGGAAAAATGTTTTTTTTATGAAAAAAGGAAAAAGCACAAAAGTGAGCTTTTTTCACAGATTTTGCTAGAAAATAGATTCTTATTAGAAGCTCGACTAAAATGCATATTATTCATCTCAACCTTCCGCACTTTGTAGATCTTCGATTAGTGGGTTGAATTTACACTTGATAATTGAAAATTCACTGTAAACAACTTATCAAATATGTTTGTTTTTAAAAAGGCCAATTGAAAACCTTACAAAAAACAGATCAAGAAAACCTATAATGTATGATTCGATGCGTCTGCATCTCTTCTTTCCAACGGTGAAAACCGCAGCTCTTTATCTTGCTTCTATCAAAAGTTATTCAAAAAATACTCACTCGTATTTTTTCAAAATTAGTATGAATACAACCGGCACATAACCAGCCGAAATAGGTTTTAAAAGATAATTTAATATTATGATATTAGTTGAAGTACGATCAAATAGCATAGAAAGATAGAGCTTTTTTTTCTCTATCAGATTATATAGACGAAAGTTACTTTAAGCCTACTATACGGTATTAAAGTGTCACTGCCTGTACTTTTGGTATGCCCTAAGTATTATTCCTTTCTGTATTCAATTAGAATACATGACCATTTCTGAAAGTTTCAATGATTTTATCTATGATGTCTTCAGACAAGCCAATATAAAACTGTCCTTTTAAACGTATCAGAAGTTCCTTGTCTTCTATTCTCTTGTAACAGTGATCTGTAGTCTCTGATCAATAATAGATTCTTTTATTATCTCGATATTTTACATACAGAGGCGAAATAACAAAAAGTAAAAAATATTCGTCATCAACATCACTAATATATTTGTTCTGAAGCCAAATATTTCCTTAACTAAGAAAAAGAAAGAAAAGTAACGATATACTTTTCAAAACATACAGTTTATTCAAAATAGAAGAAAATAAATAACTTGAAATAGACATACAAACATTGAAGAGATTATTAAATTTGTACAAAAATAAGCAGTAACAATAATATTTGTTTGAAATAAAACATAATGAAAGTTAAGATAACAATATAGATCAACATTCAATAGAATTATTTGTTCTTTTACATTCATCTTTGCAAAGGCATTTGTAATAGTGATTTACAAACTACAAAAAGTTTCTTATAACGAAAAGAGAAGAGATAAAAGAAAAATATTCATAGAGAACAACACGACTAATGTACAAAAATAAGAGTCAGGGAACTAAAGATAAACGTGTGAACTGTAAAAAATGACAATAAATATACTGACTGACTGAATATATGACTGCAATTTTTATTTAGAAACTCAGTGAATGACAATAGACATAGGTAATGTTGTTGTTTTTAATTGTTAAATTAGACGTAAATTCTTCCTATACGATGAGCAAACATTTGAGTTCTACTTATTTTGAAACGATACCGAGTATCAATCATACACAATTTACCATTAAACTAAATAAATCATAGTGAGATTGTCACAAATAAATAAAGTGTAGATTCTCTTGAAAAAAAAACTAAATAAATAAATGAAAATTCATTGATAGAAAAAAAACGAAACAATATATTTTTCTGACATAAAAATGGTTTTTAACTGTTGCATAAAAACATAAATAATTAGAAACAACAAAGATCACGAAAATATGACTGTTTATCTAGAAAAACTGACCGGGTAGTATTGTTTTGTCGATATCACATGAACATATTTATGAATTCAGACATCAAATCAATTGGTATTTATCATTATAAAAAAAATAAATAATTGCGTTGAACAAATTTGGCTTATATAAAAGAGGCTTAATATAAAATTTGTTAATTGTTCAATTCATACTACTGGATTGATTTTTTGTATGTTTTAATAACGAATTTCGTTGGTCTTTTTATTTAATATTGATAATTTTTTTGATTCCTTTTTTAATATAATACCATCATCCATTTGCTTAAGTGACGATATTGCTGCGTTAGCTCGAAAATGTAAACGAGACTCTAACTGATAATCCTTGTAATCAGTCCTAAATAACGATAAAATAGTTGTATAGTTCAGGTATTAAAATCAGTAGTATCAAACAAAAGTTACATAGTATGAAAACTTCCTCTATTAAATTTTTGAAGAAAATAAAATTAACTCACACTGCTTTTTGAAGGCACTCAGTGGCTTTCTGTTTTTCCTTTGTTGCTGAATAGATTATGCCTTTTTCCAAAAGGGCATTCGGAAGTAAATAAGATTTTTCTTCAAATTGTTTTGCCCTGTTAAATGAAAAAATATAAATATATCTACAGATAATAAATATGATTTTCTTTCATTTGTTCAACTAACATGCAAAGAACTTCATCCAGCGCTTCGTGAGCTTCATTATATCGATGTAAGAATGACAATATGACACCTTTTAACAAGTATCCTGTTCCCAAACTATCTTTGAAAAAAGTATCATCTGAAACAGATAAAAAAGTAATTTAGAAATACGTAGAAACAAAAACACTTGAGAGAATATAGATGACTATAGAATAGAACATACTTGTATGAGTTGCTATTAAGTTTTCCAACCCATTATTTACAATCTCCAACATCTTGTTCATTTGATATTCGTCGTGATGTAAAATATAAAAACCGTTCATCACATACACTAATTCCTGAACAGCAAGAACCGCGTTGTTACATCGATCGCAAATGAGCGTTCACAGGGCAGAAACATCCCAAGATTAAAAATAACCTCCAGAGACGTTCTTCTAGTTTTCAATTAGTAGCAACATATATCTGAAAGCGATTAAATCTCCACATTAATTGAGTTATGACGAATAAGGCATATTCATCAAATTTTGCTATTTCTCACAGTTGTATTTCACTTTTACATCAAAGATTATTTGGTGAATTATTCGGAATACGCTAAAGCATCATTTTTTGTATGCGACGCAAGACAAACGGACCGTTTAGCATTTGAAGTGTCCAAGCGGAATGAACCCATAGTGGAAACCATAGCAACGTCCAGCTCAAGATGTTTTATTACCACCTGATTACTTAATGAAAAATTGTATTATACATTATTACGTGATTTCAATTCTAACAAGAATTCTAATTACATTCGTTATTATAAGTTATCTGTCCATAAAAACTGCCAAAAATGGACGCCATTAAAATTTGAAAACACAGAATTTTACGTATTTGAGATGTTTTGGAACCGACTTTATTCAAAAAGGAAAACCAAAGTTTCAAAAATTAGTCAACAGCCATTTTGAATCCTTCTACACATTTGTTCTCCCAGCAGCTAGTTTTTAACAAATACTGAAGTTACCTGCTGTTATTGGCAGGTAAGACTACGTTCATACGACAAAAGTTAAATGAGCTAAAACGAAGCTGACTGGTCAGAAGGTTAGCTCTGAATTAAATGATATCTCCAATCATAAATGAACCCAGTAATGAATAATATGGTTCCATTAGACAAGGGCGGTAGCGCCAGTTGTGTGGGAACCAAACATTTGACTCTCTAGTCAATTTTTCTGTTTGAGCTTAGAAAGTCAACTGTAGAACGTAAATTCAAAACGGCCGACTGTTAGCAAGTCGCAACCTTCGAGAATACTGAAGCTAGGAAGCAGCACAATTTTAGGGGAAATATCAAAATCTTATTGGTATATTAAAGATTCAGGTGCTCTTCGAGTTAACTCTGAAAAATTTGTAGTGTGAACGTAACCTAATTATGTGAACGATTTTTATACTTAATTCATGACTTGATGAGTCATCGCAAGTACGAGTGGTGAATATCTTCTCCAATTCTACTTGTAGAGTTCCTTTTCAATTAAGCATAGTTTTTTCAGAGCATATTGACAAACAAAATGTGGCAGCCTGAATAAATAGAATTATCACGCTCTTTTCGATAATAAATATAATCTAAAAAATGAGATTCAAGATGTCGCTACTGATGGAGATACTAAAGGAATCGTCGAAGGTTAATTACACTGCAGAATACTTTTCATTTAGTACTTAAATTCATAGTTCACAAGGTCAAGGAAAAACGAATCATACCAATGCTGGTAAAAATAGCCATTTGTGAGTTTGAAAATGTTCACATTTCTTTATTGCATATTTCTCCATTGGAATTGATTTTCCAGCGAGCCTAATTTTTAAACCAGGAACACGGCTAGAATTAAATACATTTCTATTTATATCCGAGAAAAATGGAACAGTGCTCAGGTGCAACCCGGATTTTTACTTGCCCTCATCGGGAATACCGAAAAAATCACGTGAAAAAATTTTTACGAAAGTATCCCTCAAGATTTTTTAATATTTTTCTGTTGTGGATTAGACCAGATTTTAGTGGACTTTTTTATTTTCTCGGAAATCTTGTAGTAGTTTACAAAATTCTCTCGACTCTGGAAAAAATAAGAAATTCCATAGAAAACGACGGTCCCGTGGGGCTTTTTTAGAGTTTCAGAGGAAATCTCAACTAAGACAGAAAGCATAAATCTACATAGAGTACTAAACATTCAGCTACTTTTCGACACACTCTGTAGTTCAATTTTCGATTAACAATTTTGACAAAAAGAACCTATTTGATAATTTCTTTTCTAGGCGGATATGGAGTAATTTCCTAGGATACTCCAATGCGTACTTATAGAGTTTGATAATATCTTCTGATGCAACTCCACCGTTCTCTTCGAATAAAAATGTAGCCAACAAATAACAGTACGTTGCTTTACTCCAGCTACTTTCGTTTAATAAAATTTCAGCCATTTGAGCAGCTGCTTTCCATTCACGTTGAAATACTCGACACCATAATATTTCCCAATGAGATATCTATAGCAGAAACGTATTTTATTATTTTCAATTACTCTCGAACATCACCGCAGTGATCATTTTCTTACATGATGAAGATTTCTCCAATCATTTTGTGATCTAATTGCTAGTTCATAGGCTTTTATTCCCTAAAAATAAAAATAAAACTATTCATTGTTCTTGGAATATACAAAGTTAAGAGAGGTCTCCCGTTTAGAGTTGGTTCAAACTTTGCTAGTTTGTAGAGGACATTTCATAATATATATGAAAAGAGTTTGAAGGTTGGGACTTCTAGTCTTTTAGAAAAAAACATTTTAGTTTTTTTCGACCTTTTATGCCCATTTTTTAAAATTTTTACTTTTCAGTTTGTAACCAATCGATAGAGCGTCACCAGAAGAAAGAGTCCAGAAAATCTAAAACTCATAGAACATAGACACTTTAACATACGAAATCGAATAGAAGTACCAAAAATCGAGACAAATAAAGATTTCCAGAGACGGTTTTTCAGAGTCTCGAAGCGCAAAATCTTCCAGGACCTTGAACAAAGTTTCGCATCACGGAAGCATTTTAGAGCAAAAGTGTGGATACGGAAGTTGTTCAGAATGTGTGATTTTACATGGAATGAGCGGAGGAATTTTTGGAAATTGTTAAACGTGATTTTTAAATTGAAAACGACGTTTTTTAAACTTTAAAAATTTCATATTTTTTAGACGAACTAATGGGTAAACTTTTCAAACAGACTTTTACAATTACAGCAGCCGAATGATGAGATCATTTTATTCGGCTGCTATAATTTTAAAAATTCATATTTTTTAATTTAAAAATCAAAGTTTAACGATTTTTAAAAATTCTTCCACTCATCTCATGTAAAATCACACATTCGGAACAATTTCTGTATCCACACTTTTGCTCTAAAATGTTTTCATGAAGCGAAGACGCATGACAAAACAGTTTTTGTCCTAAAATAATATTGGTGAGGTAAATGTTAAACTTATGAAACTTCATTCGATAACGATGAAACTTTTGGTATATGTACAACTCGATATCCACTATCAAATGACATCAAAATGGAGTCTTTAACTTGAAATTTTTATTTAAATTTTAAAAATTGGGCAAAAAACTGAGAGAAAACTTAAAAAGTTTTTCCTTCAAAACTACATGTCCGGAAACTGAAAAACTTATAGGATAACACTTCAAAGTGTTCTCTACAAACTAATGACGAAAAACGAGTGAGAGGACTTTCCTTAAATTTTTCATTTACAATACCTCATTTAAATGGCAACGTAGCGTTTGTAGACGTGCTCGAAATACAAGAAACATATAGGACTAAAATGAAAAACAGTTATGATTGATATGTGCACAGTTTTTAAAGTGATAATAAAACAGTTCACTACATAAATTGCAATCAATTAGATAAAATTTATCGAAAGAATATCTTCAAGTTTTATAAATTAGTTTTCGCTTTTTCATTGTTCAAAAAGATTTCTTCGTTTGCAACTGTACATTCTTTAAAACAAAAAACATTCATTGAAGTAGAGTATATATTTAACTGCGTCATTAATTACCAGTCATATATAGAAATATATACAATATCATATTGCACTTCATACATTGATGAATATCATATTTAACATCACCATCATGTGAAATTTGATTCGATTTTCAGAATATATATTCGAAACTTGACATGATTTTTTTCCTTCATAAAAATTCAACTTATTCTTCTCTTTCTCTCTTGTGCTTCTTCTTGTTAAATAGATGAGGGATATCTTTAGATCCATAGTCAAACACATCAGAGGGATAACTACGCGCATCGTCTTTCTTCGACTTTTTTTTTTCTTCTTCTCTGCTGTCAAATATAAACGAGTTGAGAAATATGATAAGATAGATCATATTTTTTGAGTTTCTGAGAATAAAAAATACATTTTCATAAATATAGAGGGGAAAAGAAAAATCCACAGAAGAAATATAGAGTTCATGAATACTATCCAGTTTCTAACAGATACGTGATTATTTGATAAGTCAGTTTTTATCAGACGAGTAAACTGAATTTTTGAAAAATTTTGATTATCTTGTCATAATTAGATTGAAAGTGTTCGTAAGACATCAATTAATGTATGTATTTAGCTTTCTGTTTTCATCTCAAAGTCGGTACCAATAATCAAGTACTGCACAAAAGTTATGTTATAGATAGAAAGAAAATGGAAGAATTTTTTGCTCCATAATATATACTTTCGTTTTCGGATTAGTAAGCTTGTTAGTGTAAAGGCAGTATTATACGTACTACCAGTACACAACTATATATTGATAAATTTTTTGTAATCATATGTACTTCGATATTCTAATATGACACGTTCTGACGGAAGAAATTGATTTTTATGAAAAGTACCGAAATTGGAGAGTGCCTACAGTGTAGTAAATATAAAAAGGTATTTCCAAAGTAAATGATAGTATAGAGTCGAAACATATGATTTACGGAGAACGGTGTTTGTAATTGAATATATATATATATAGAGAAAGAGAGAGAGAGAGAGAGAGAGAGAGAGAGAGAGAGAGAGAGATTGAGTGAGGAAGGGATGCAATGGATCTGCACATATACACAAACAAGAAATAGAAAACACAAAATGAAAATGAAACTATAGGAGAGAGAGAGAGATCTCATTGATGATAAGTGTAAAAATCAAAAGTAACTTGAGACTAACGCATAGACTAGCAGCTATAATATAAAAAATATGTGATGAAACAAAAAATCTCGTATTCGTTTCTCCTTTTCTTACATATTAGAAAAAACAAAACAGAGAGAAAGATGACCATAGCCTCAATCAGAAAACGGTAATACAATCTGTACATATCCGATTATAAAGGTAATAGGATACTGAGATACACAAGCACCAAACACGAATCCTGTTTTTTTTCTTCTCTCCTCCTATTCTTACAGAATCGCACGTATATCTACGACATATATTTAGTTGAACATGTCTATGTGTTGTATATTATTTGTAGATTATTAGCTTATAAAAAAAATCTTTTATTTCCATGATAAAGTGAATAGTCAGCCAGTTATATTTTGGATCTTCAATTTACCGATTTCTATTGCTTACATCTGATGAAGACAAGTGTACAAGTTAAACAAGAGCCGTCAAACACGGAGTTACAAGTAATATTTTTCATAATGATATCTAATATAAACACTCAATAATTAACATTCTCTCAATTGTTTAGACTTATGCTCAAGAAACGGTCAATGAATTGCTTCGAATATACGGCTATAATATTCCTTCCAATCGTGATCAGTTACCAGCAAAGAAAATAAATAATGATCCTACTAGTTTAGTACAACAAGGTGATGTAGACAAGAGTATAGATCGATTGTCGACGTCATCATCTGAATCATCGAACTTGGAACCAATAAAATCTGAAGAAAGTAAGAAATTCATTCATTTATAGATTTTATAATTTTACATAACTAATTGAATGTATATTTAATCTTCTCAGAATGTGTTTGGTGTCAAAAACTTGGTGGACGATCATTTACATTAAAAATTGATAATGAAATTAAATCATTATGCAGTGAAGTGTGTTTCAATCAATATCGTCGAGCATCATTCAAAAAAAACAAGGTAGGGGTGTACGGTTTAGGATTCTCCATCATAATAATTTTTTTATTCTGTTTAGGTCGCTGATGTTGACTTTGTTGTTAATTCAAATGCGAGATCATCTGAAAACTGTGGACTAGAATCTGAAGAGAGACAATGTGAAAAACGTCATACAAGACGGTTTCAATACCATGGTGTTAAATTTTCAGAAAGTAATAAAGCACCAATGTCAGCAAAGAACAGTGAGAAAAAAGTAAATACTATTGAAAAAGACTAGACGTACAAACGACAATAATTAATGTATTTTAATTGAATTATAGGTGAAGGACGAAATCTCATCTTTTCGAAAATTATCAATAGAAAACACAGTAAAGAATATCATTGACATACGATATGATATAAATTTGTGTATATACTCGGTCTTTTAATTCTAGCGTTCCAAACCAGAAATAGAAGCCAATCGTCGAAAATTGCTTGTACCACTTCGCCGATCAACGATCACAAGAAAAAATTCGATGGATAATGAGTATGGAGAAAATTCTATTAAAAAAGTGTCTCATATTGATCGTTCAATTCGACATAAACAATCGACACGAAATGAAAAAATGTCATCAAAATCAGAAGTGATATCTTCCATATCAACTGAAAATTTATCCTCACAAAACCGATCACTATGTACCACAGATCCACGAAAACCATCGCTACATTTACCTATTCATTTACCATGGTCTACTATTCGTACACCACCTGGTTGGAGTGTACGTCCTTCAATCACAGATTTTCCACGTCTCATGCAGTTTCCGTTCGATGCCAGTAATACAACTAGTCAACTATCTTTACAAGATCCTAATTCGCGAACATCACTCTTAAAAATCCCACGATTCGCCGATTTACATATGACACCAACAACTCAACAGGAAACAACCAAACGTACGGTAGATGAATCAAATTTAGACTTGTCTTGGATGAAAAAAGCAAAAAAACCACGATCGTTATCAGTAACAGACAATATTAGTTTGGTTGATAACATTCAATCATCAAATTCAAATGTAATCTCGAATGCAGTTGATACATCTTCGATAAACAATTATTGTGCTTCAATTCAGCAAAATCAAAAGAAAGAATCAAATGATTCACCAAATTTATTTTTATCATTATTCAACAGCAAATGCTCCTTTTCTTGTATAATACCATTTTTTATACCTATACCAATCGTAATACCAGTTTTCATTCCTGTACCTGACTGGAAATCGTCCACTCAGTCAAATGTTTCAACTAAACCAATTAATTCTCTCGCCAGTCGAGTTCATGAACGATTAAACAATTTGTCTCCAACAGATCTAACTTCATCAATATCAAAAAGACGGCGAAGTCTAAGTTGTTTATCCGATATTGATTATCAATATAACGCTACAAAAGATGATTTTTATCCAGTTAGTCAACGACGTGCTAATCAAAGATCATATGCCTCTATGGCATCACCTAATTCTAATGTGATAAGTTCCCAGAAAAAAAAAGAGTAATAAATATATATACTATAGCTAATCCCAGTTATGTAAAATGTAAAGTCATTTCAATAAAGTCAAAACGATATGGTTTATGTCATTAGTTTATATGATTAAAGCATTCTAAAAAAGTCCAAGCATTACGTGAATATATATGTTTTATTGCATGCATGCATGTATCCATCAATAAAAGTCTTCTCCTTACAGACAATAATTAATAATTAATTATTTAAAGTAAGCATAATAGCTCTACTTCTTTTAAAGCTGACGTAGTAAAATATAGTAGTATCAAGGGAGATTAGTCCTGTGCAAAGCTATAGACAACTTACCTTTTTTTCTGAAATGCAAAAAAATTAAACAAATTGGATAGTTTTTTCCTAATATATATATATATAGAGAGAGAGAGAGAGAGAGAGAGAGAAAGAACGAGAAAAAAAATATACAAATGATAAAATTTTATTCAACAACTTACATTTGGATAGATTTTCAAATAACTTTTTGTTAATTGCTCAGCTTTGTCTAAATCTCCTTCACCATTGCCTTAAATGAAAACAATGTTTAATCAATGACAAAAAAATTTGAATCATTGTACCTAATATTTGACCGGCAAACGTATGATAACCTAAGAGGAAAAGTGCTGATAATGGAGCACGAATCCCATTGCTTTTTGAACTTTTCTCCAATTCCTGTAAACCAAATTCCTATAAATCAAAGAGGTAAATATCATATTCCTAGGAAAAATTAACATCATTTCGATAAAGAAAAGAAAAATGAGTAGATACCTTATCACCGGAAAATCCAGCAAATTCTAAATATTTTGTTATTCGTTGAGGCAAACTAGCAATCATCTAATATGAATTGCACATGTAGAAAAATGAGTAGTTGAGTTTCATTTTTCTAGCTTACAAGATTAAATGCCCCATTACCCATTCGAACACCAGAATCAAAGTGTTCATGCAATGATTGAGTTGAAAATGTGGTCGGATCGTTGTATTTGGCTAACTTTCTGGAAAAAGATACAAAAATATAAAGATCAATTATATTTACTTAAATTTAAATGATTACTAACACAAATAAATCGTGACATTCTTTTATTTTAAGTGCACCACTAATGAAACTAAGTAAACCTTGATCTTGAATAAACATCAATAAGGCTCGTAATAATAATGCTTCAGCATAAACTAATTTGGCATGCAATTCATCTAAGGAGAATAGAAATTAAAAGTTTCGAATGAAAATATTTTATTTATGCATTTAAAACGGGAAACACATAATAAGATACAAAAGCAAGGGTATAAATATCCAGCACTGTCAGATGGTGAGAGAGAGAGAAATTTTCCCCTCTTTTGAATGATATACCTACTCCTATATTTAAAACACTTGTGTAAGCGACGTGAAGAAAGAGAAGTACTCGAATAATCCGTTTGCAACTTCTATTATGTATGATTCAGCAGATAAATCTGTGAAAACTAGTTAATTTTTTCAAAAAATAAAAATACTCCGGTTCAATCGATTAGAAACACATTGAATAAATATTTACAATATGACACAAAAAATTTTTTGCCAAGAAGTGATCACCTTCTCAAGATTTCAAATAAACAATTGAAAGATCTGATGAAATCAATTAACAGTAAGTCGTAATTTGAGTAGAAGAACGTCTGTAATTGTTTGAAAACGTAGAAAAGCCCCAAAAATTGATAGTGAAGACCAAGAAAAATGAGCGAGAACAAATTGTGATAAACTGTATCGAATGATTTGTAAGGGCTGTGATATCATTTGGATGGCAAAAAATATTTTACGTTGTTCGAAGATGAAGTTGGGAGCAATCGATTTTATTGTTTCATCGTTTCCTCTACAACTTCTTCTGACACAAAATTTCTAAAAAAAAGAAATTTGAATCAAAAGTTATGATTTGGATGGCAATCAATCGCATCGAAAAGGGTATCGAATTAGAGACCTGCAACCAGAACCGGATATCCGACCCGAGGTCGGATTCGGGTTTGACTATGAAATCTGTCGAGTTTGAAATTTTCTTCCATAACGCTTTCCTCTTTTTTATGAAATGTTCAATACTAGAGTTGATAATTTTTTAAGCATTCTGTTGAAAAAAAAAAAGACTCGGATTTGATAAATTCAGCCCGCGCAGTACTCTATATCGAATGTGTACGTCCACTAAAGTAAGAAGGTGGGTCGAAAAGAAACTTATTTAAATGAATGAATCAACAAGAGATTACGCCCGTTTATCGATAAATATCACAGATATGGTGATTTTGAGCCAACTTAGCCGGTGCCCATTATTCAAATGTTGTCAAGGAACGATTATTAGAAGAAAACGTCCCATTTGTGCCTCGTCCAAAGAATTCACCAAATGTTCCTCATAGTCAAGATCGATCGAGACGGTTTGGGCTGTTTTAGTTCAAAAAGTCTATGAAAACAATTGGCAAGCTAAAAGTTTGGATTTATTGGTTCGGAGAATCAAAAAAAATGCAAAATAACTTGATTAAAACATGTTGCAGGGTATGATTAGACAGGTTTGAGTAAAATTCAATATGTTAAATACAGGTTTTTGTAGTTTTCATGCTCTTTCTAATAAAAAAATGAGCCTCTAGCTTGTTTCCTCTATTGAACAACACCGCTGAACATTCACATCATTACTTTTGTATCATATGTTATTTCTGTCGCTCTCTCATCACTTTCTCGCTCTTCGCTTAAACTAGTTGGTTTTTTCATTCGATTTTTGATTTTTACCTATTCATTAACGAAATTATTAAAATTCTTTAAACAGAATTTCACTTTTTAGTGCTAAGAAAACTTTTGTGACAGCTCTGCTATCTATTTTCAAAAAACAGTTGAAATTTATTATTGATTTTTATCCAATATTTTATCTCTTCTTGTTGCACTCTTTGATCTCCTCTTAGATGGTTGCTAGAAGGATAGTAATCTTTTAAAATGGATAATTTCAATCGATGTAGATTGACTGAAATTTTAAGATATCAGACGTTTGAGATAAAAATCTATGATATCTAGAATCATAAGAAATAAGCACCTTGTGCAAGAAGTTAGATAAGAAAGTGAATCAATGATAAATCAAAAGCAAATTTGGTTCCCTCAGAAATCAATAATAATTTCTGTGCTAATTTTCTACTAAATTAATTTACATGACTTACATTCACCCATTGTTTGTTTCGTGCCGATAAGTGTTAAAGATATCCAAGAACGATAGGTTTCACTTTTTTTCGCTAATTGTATCGTTTGTCGTAAAGATTGAATTGTTGCTTCCATATCTTCCTAAAATTATGATATCTTCCTTTAGTATAACTTCATGGTAGATGACATTTTGCCTACCGCATTAAAAGTCATTGTGGCTTGCATAAATCGAAGAGAACTGTGACACAGACTATGGTACATTGATTTTGTTTCTCTAAAAATTCTTATACTTGTGGAGTGATTTCAATTAGTTCAGTTAATACATACTGTTCTTTGGATAGTGTTAACGCTTCATTGAGGCGATTTTCAAATATAAGCTTCATTATGTGTATTCCATCTCTTAGTCCTTGGGTTAAGTCGATTTCTTTTTCTACTGCTGTTCTTCCTGGCGCATAGATCGACACTGGTAAAGAGCTTTGAAAATAGAAAAAGAGACATTCATTTTATGAATAAATATTTTTTTTTGGCTTTGAGCAAACAAACCTGGTGGCGCCAGAGATGTCATCGTTGAAAGTCTCTAATGCATCTTCGAAGATCTAAGAATGAAAATTCAGTTTCTTTAGCATGTCACGAGTCGTGTTGGAGTTTTATAATGATTAAAAACAGTCTGCATCCTTTTCTGCTTGTTTCGAGAACGTTAATGAATAAAAAATGGATTACTTTAGGTTTATCAACTCCAAAATATTAATTTTCGTATTTTGTATTTATTAGATTCTTTAAGATGATTGATACCAGTGTTAGTGCCAGTCTTCAAACTAAAGTTTTCTAATACCTCTGAGACAAGCTGCTATGACTAATTCACTCAAAGACAGCGCAATCTACTATGTTTTTCAAAGAAAATTAATGTTATATATATATACTACTATCCATTTCAAAATGGAATAGCCGCGGATGTTTTTGAATAACTTTTGAACAGAAAGAACTATAGAGAGCTTCGGTTTTTCGTATTAGATAGAAGACAGTTTGGGACATGATTCTATGAAAAAATCACATTTTCGCGAAAGGTCTACCATGGTGTGCCTTTTGAGTGAAAATTTGGCAGATCCCGTACACAAAAAACAAGGTGGATTTTGACTTTTAAGAGAGTGGTTCGAACCATCGAACTTCGTTCTTCTAAACTACACAAGTTCTAAGGTTCCATCTACCACGGTTCGGATGCTATGAGGTTTCTCCGAGCACCTACTACTCCGCTAAACTTCATGTTTGGAAACTACCAAACACAAGGGACATAGGTTATGGACCACATTGGATCTCGTGGTAATGTGTTTTACGAAAAAGCTTCAAAAAACTAGTTAAAACTATACTAGACGAGATAGTTCATTTTTCACTATTTACACCGAAAATTAAAAATCATAGCTCAGTCAAAATTGTTTCAAGCTGCTTCAAATTTATCAACATTTACTCGATTTTATCTGCAGTACACCATGAAGTTCAATAACAGCAGACAGCGTACTTCAAAGATACCGAGTTCAAATCCCGGCAACGGCGGTCGGTTGACAGCCTTGGACAAACTATGTAATGCTCATTGTCTCGGTACCTTTGGGCACAGATGCGATGGGGTAACCCGATTTCAGTGGCTATTGGACTGAATAAAGTTTACAAAAAAAAAAAGAAAAAAAGTTCAATAACAGTTTTAAAAGCTAACAGAAAGTGCTTCGGTTTTTGAAAGATTTTCTAGACAGCTTTCGGAATAAGGAAATATTTCGTACTAATTTCTACTACAGGATATGATTAAGCAGATAAGATCGAGTAAATGCTGATAATGTGAAGCAGTTTGGAACAATTTTAACTGAGTCACGAATTTTTTCATAGAAATTTAAGAATAGTTCCGGCTAACATGTTAAGAATTTTAATAAAAATTCAAAATCAACAAATAAAATTACGATTTGATATTTCAACCTACTGATTACTGTTACTCGTCGTGATTAGTATAACCAGCAGAGTTTTTCATTTTGCACACTTTTCCACTTAATAAGAGGGTATTATGTTTTTTCGTCTTAAGAGATGGTGTTACTAGTGCAGGTTCAGAGATTTCGATTGGTTTTGTTTGATCACTTAAGTGTTTCCCTCTCCTTTTACAAAAATCTCGGTATATTTTCCCAATATAAAATTCATGACATACAGAGTGGGTGGCTTTATAGGCAATTCCCTACTCGAGTGGAACAGATCACCTAAACCTCGAATAACCACAAACCTTGAACAGAGTATAATTGAGGAAACAATTGAGCAACTCTGCTATATAAAAAAGAAAGATGAAAATAACTTAGTTTATGTTGCAAAATCATCTATCCGAAAGCATTATTTTAATACTGGACATGTGATAACAAATAATAACTTTGAAATTGTTTTACGAGAAAAACAAAGATACAAGTTGCTAGTTAAGGCATCGTTGGTTATTCGGACTAGTTATCCATGTTCAATGGTACGGATTGTTCACTACCATTGTATATGTATTTTGAAAGGGTAAGATCAAATTTGTGGGATAGAAAAAGAATTCCAAGGGAAGGTTTTGGTGGTTGGTGTAGTATCTTTTCATTCCAGGCTTTCAACAGTTACAGGATCTTTTAACATCATACCGATCTATCACTTGTCGAGATGTATTAGTTCTCTCATATCTTCATTTTCATTTTTATTCATGCAATTTGTGTCAGCAATAGTTTTTAGTTTTCTTGATATTGAGATGATTCATCCTTAACGTCATTAGAATTTGTTTTTATTACAGCTTTAGCGTATAGTGCTTTTCTTCTTTTTAATGTCGCATATCAGAGATGGGCAACTCCGGCTAAGTTCAACTCCAACTCAACTCCAACTCCAACTCCACTTAAAGAAGTTCAACTCCAACTCTAACTCCAACTCCGCAGATCCCAACTCCAACTCCGTTTCAACTCCAATAGGAACTTATTTTGTCTTGATTCATTTTCTCCTTTATTTTATATGTGATCACTGCAGAAAGC